GGGGGAGGCGTTTAATCATGATTTAGGAAAGAAATACCGGAGCTGTAAGACGGCACAGATGTTCGTATTCCGCTCTGCAATTGGAACAGACAGACCTGCGTCGCTTGTAACTTAAAACTCAACTGGGTCAAGGCTTCATATAGACCGACTTCTTTTTTGATGGCTGTGTTTGGGTAGACAAAAGGTTACGCGGTCGCTCTGGTTAGAGGCCTTGTCAAACCGGTTTCATAAATCAATAGTTCTGGTGAATTCCCATGCCCGTGAAATAGCTAGTCAGGTTACAGGTTTTCTAGTGTTGTCCTGCCCCTTGTGTCTTTTTCATGTTTGCGTTCAGTCATTTGTGATTAAGGCCGCAGCGTTGAATATTTTTCATCCTGGTCTTTCAACAGACTACCTTTTATCAGAAATGCACCCAGATGCCAAGACACAGCTGCGATATGGAACATACAACACCGGAGGACCGCACATTGGCGCTTATATGCGAGGTGAAGTAAATGCAGCCGGCAACACCGTCTTCTCACCCCCTACTTCATCCTCTTCCTCCGCCTACCCCTCATCCTCTGCTGCTTATCCCAGCTTTCCGTCCACTGCACATCCCTTCTTTCATTCTGCAGCTGCAGTTGCAGCCGTGGCGGCGGCTGCCGCGGGCTATTCACAACAACTCTCAACGGTAAGCCTTTCGAACTGACTTTCGTCCTCATTGTGAGACCGCGAATAGTTTACCGCTCTCTTTACTGATTGCCTTATTTCGCAGACTAGCCCCAATTCCTTTTGCCCATTAAATGCGTGGACTGCACAATAATGCGTACTAAATCCGGCTTACATTTATCGTTATCACCTTGGAGATTTCCTTATTCAGTAATCGAAGATACTGGTAAAATTGTGTTGAACGACTGAGGTAGTCCAAATGGCCTAATGGCTATAAACGGTTTTTCTGGCCACAGACTACGAAAATATGAGGGTCGCCTAGTCAGAAAGCAAGTGTCCTTCACATTTTTCACATTCTGAGCTATCGAGGCGTTCGCTCCGCCTGCAGAAAGACGATTTCCTCCTTTATCTGGCGAGGCTCGACTGTTTTGTAGTCTGGTGTTTTATTTGCAATCTTATATACAGAACATAACTACCTGTATTTGATAAGCCGGTGTCAGATGACTGGGCGCAATTCATATTCTAGCAGACTTTACCTCAACCATGTCCCACCAATTTTCTGGCAGTGTACGTTTCATATACTGACAGTTCATCTAAGCCTTTCAGCTTTGATTTTTTAAACCGAGACTTGTAAATTTAGGCCTAGGTTCCCTTATACTTTCCCTAAATAGTCACCGTCTGGGAAAAGACTGTGCTGCCGAAATTTGATATACCCTGCCTACTGTTCATATTTAGATGTCTCTATAGACCCCTGTATTTCCAGAAGCTGTGTTTTGGCAATCTTTTCTAGTCCACGCTCCCATTAAACCTTTCAAACCTCAACGCATCTTCCCGAGAGGCCTATAGTTCGCAGTTCTACGGACCCAATCAGGGAGTCAGTGCGTATGACTACTACAATTACTATCAGCAGTACTCTGGCCGCTACGCATCGGCGTTCCAGCCTGCTGGCTCCAGCAATCTGACTCTTGGCAAT